CGGGCCTCAGTCACGAGTCCTCATTCCCCATTTTTTTGTATCCACTCGTTCCTTTAACAACCTCTTCCAGTTTCAAAACTTGAGTGCTACCTGTATGCCCATGACTTCAAAAAAAAAAAAAAAAATCTACCTCCAACACGGGATCGTCTCCTGAAGTCTAACTTAGTATGTTCTGCTGCCTCCTGCACAGCATTGCAAACCCAGGATGTCTAAAACTTAATTGATGCTCTCCCCTGTGAAATCTAACTCACTGCAATGATGATTCTATCCCGCCATGAGCACAGGGAAAACCCTTGACTCTTGACCCTCCTGTCCCATATCACCATTATTATGTCAGGTAACAAGTTTGGCTCTGTCTTTAAAAATCTATTCACTTCTTGGTACCGACAGTGTTGTTACTATGGTTTCTCCTCTGAAGGTTGTTCCCATGATCCTCCTGACTGACCTCCTACATCCCTTCTCCTTTTAGTCTGTTCTAAATGAATTGACTATTGAAAAACTTAAAAGCTCCCATCACTTGCCTGCTCCTGCTCTCACTCATTTATAGTGAAAGACCTTACCTGTCTTTCTGTCTAGACGCTATTCCTTAACCTCTGACCTCCCTTACCACACTCCATGAGGTGCTCACACCTTATAGCCACACTGCCCTCTTTGCTGTCCTTTGAACCAAACATATTATAAAATCCCTACCCACTGACACCTGCTTCTATGGACTCTGTTTCCTCTCTTAGATATTGAACTTAGTTTCACTCTGTCGCTGTGATAAAATGTCCTGACCAGAAGCAGCTCACGGGAGGAAAGGGTTTATTTAGCTCACAATTCCAAGTTACAGTCCATCATTTCAGGGATGCCCCAAGGTGGGAATTCAGCCAGTCAGTCACATCACATCCACCTTCAAGAGCAGAGAGAAATAAAATGTAGCCTTGCTCGATCAGCACTCAGCCTTTAGAACCTAGCCGTAAGCTGGTGCTACCAGCATAGAGTTGGCCTTCCCACATCAATTAACAGTGAAGATGGGGGGGAAGTAGTGAGGATAGTCCCTCAGAGACATTCTCACAGACCAATCTGATCTAGATAATTCCTCATTCAGACTCTCTTCCCAGGTGATTCCTGATTGCATCAAGTTGACGGATAAAACTAGCCAGGAAAGATACTATCCAGTCTGAAATGCTCTTCCCTCAGATATCTTCATGACACTGAAATAAGGTTCACTGAAGTTAAGTTGTTACACAGGATGGGGGAAAAAAAAAACAGGCGAAGCCCTAAAGACAAAACAAAGAGTGAGGAACATGCATTTAATATGGCTTGGAGTAAAGAGAGATGGTGGATAGTGAGGGTGAGATGAGAATTCAATAGAGACAGTCAAAAAAGCAAAACAAAACACCCATGTAGGCTCAATTACCAAAGTTAGACTTCAAAACAGTGACAGAATAATCATGGAGAGATGATTCCATGATTAAAGATCTGTCTGTGAGAATTAGGGGGCCAGAGTTCAGATCCCAGAAGCCATGGAAAAATCTAGGCAGATGGAACAGCCCTGCTTTAATTCCAGCCCTGGGAGGCAGAGGTGGGGGATCCATAGAGCGAGGTGCTACAAGTGACCTCTGGGTGTCACCGAGAGACCCTGCCTCAAAATAACAAAATGGAAGAGTAATCAAGGAAGATTCTCAGCATCCACAGTAGGCTTTCCACTTGCACACTCACCACACATACACATAAAAACCAGAAAGAAAAGTGAGAAGAGGTCTCCCATCTCTCTCTGCCATGGGGAACTCTCCTCTCCATCCCATTAGCCACTTCTCTCCATGGTCTCCTTCGAAGACCTCGTTGACACCAGATATTGAATTATTTCTAGAACTCTTCATCTCAGGCGTTAACTTTTCCAATTGCCAGATCACAGTGTATGTATTCACACAGCTCACAATCTTCACTTTCTCCAGAACCCTCACACCACGGACCCAGCACTTTCTCACTGACAATCAGCCCCTGCCTGTCAGCACTTCTGTCCAGCAAACCTCCCAGAGTCTACCAACCATGTCCCTCATCTCCCTTACTTCTTACCCAGCTATATTACACTGCCAGCAAAGCCAAGTTGTCAATCTCCCTTTCTCATATAGGCAATTATATACAAGAATGAGTACAAGGAAATGTGTGTGTGTGTGTGTGTGTGTGTGTGTGTGTGTGTGTGTGTTCCTTCATGTTCAGATCACAGATCAGACATAGGCACTCCATCCATCCCAGAAACCCTGCTCAGTTTCTCATATACGCTTCCCCTCCTCTTTCATTTCCCCTCCTCCCTGGGGTCCCTAGGCCTTCCTTAGCCTTTACCTCACTCTCACCTGATGACTCTGCTCCACATTTCGCACGCATCACAGGTTGGACGACCCATTTCCTCACTCTCTACACCAGAGGGCCCTGCACCTCATCCTTTCTTCTCTGCACATCCCCCCTCCTAAGGAAGGTCTGGTCTGCACAGGGGGCTTTTCATCCAGTGGCTTTTACCGTCACCAAGCCGGACTCCTTTTCACCCCTTCCTACAGCGCTGTGGTCCCTTCCTAACAAAACCATCCCATCATCATCACAGCATTTTCTGGTCAGTCCCAACTTGAAACAAAGAAAGGGATCTGTCTGATTTTACTGCGCAAACCCACCCAGCTTCCACCCTCCCTCTCTCCATTCCTTCACAGACCAACAACTTCTTCACACATTTTGTGTCTCTTGTCCCATCCTCTTCCTCGCTTTCCATCCTCTCTCCAGCCACAGGAGTTTGGTTTTTACTCCTCATGACTCTAGTTAAGGTTGTTTTTGTCTAAGTCACCGCCATTCTCCCCCATTGCTGGATTTGCAGACCGTCCCTCTGCCTTCGGCTCACACACCAGCAGCTTTGCTCAGGAGGTTCCATTCTTTTTCCTTGACTTATTACCTGGATTACCTCACTCCTGCTGACACCTTTCACTGTCTATTTTAGAAAGTGTTTGGCGTTACTTGAAGTCCCTTCCAGACTTCTCTGTTATGGTTTTTGAAAGAAGATTCCTTCTACTAAGAATGCAATTGAGTTGATTTTTTGGATCCCTGCATAAGCTTTGCCATGTTGCATTTCTCTGATCATCTCCACACCAATATTGGGAAAGCACCATTGGCTCTTTCTGTCAATTGCATCCACATTCTCTGAGCCACAGTGTGGTACCACATTTACTTCATCTTTGATTACCAGATCCTTGCACCTCTGACTTGCCATGTTGGTTTTATGACATACTAATTTGTCTTTATTTAAAATTTCAAAGAAATTCCCACATGGATCCCAGATGTTGGCCATTTAATGCGGGAAGGTGTTTCCTCATTACACAAATGTGGTATGTGTCTAAAATATTGGCATTGTTTAGTTTATGAATTACTTAAAATAACTATATCACAAAAACAATGGTTCATGTGTGAGTCATAAATTAAACAATGCCAATTTTTTTATGTGTACCACATTTGTATAATAAGGAAACACCTTCTTGGATTAAATCGTCAACATCTGGAATCCATGTGAGGGTTTTAAAAAAATTAGTGTTGCATTTTCCTAAATTTTTCCTGTGCATAAAAAAATCCAAAATGAAGGTAATTTTACAAAAAAAATCCTGTCCAAATATCCTTACAAGTAGTGAATTTCTTGGCAATGTAATTTAAATAGCATTAGAAGAATGCTAAGGGAAGCTGTCCTTCACTTTTATTGATTCTGGACCTTTTACTATGATATATATTGGGATAAAATGTACTGGTCCTGTAAATGATCTACCATGTTTAAACCCCCGAGTCCTGTGAATTTGACTTCATTTGAGAAGAATGCCTTTGAAGATGCAATTGAGTTTAAGGATTTTGAGACATGATCACTCTGGATTTGATTTGAATCCAATGGCAGGTGTCCTTACAAAGGAAAGACAGAGAAAAAACTGTGACACACATCTAGGGGACACCATCTTAAGAGAGTCAGATAGAGTCATATAATTTAAATCATGAGTCACCAGGAGCTGACAGGGTCCTCTTCCTCTAGTAATACCATTGTGTGTATGTGTATGTTTGTGTGTGTACCTTATGTAATAATTATATCACTATATCCTTTTCAAATATGACATGCCTGGTTTTTCAGCTTCAATTAACATGAAGAACTGGATAGTTCTGTTTTGGGTTTGAATAATACTCAAAGTTTCCTGGCTCTCTGGTAACCTTGGAATATTCTGATCTCAAACACTTCTCAAAACACCCATAATTTGTATCATTTAATCAACCTTGAGAAAAGAACCATAAAATTGTGATAATTCTAGATGATGTGGGTGCACCAACCATATATAAACATTCAAAGTGGTGGCAGATGACACAGCTCTCCGAGTTTGAATCCTATCCACTTTGAAGACAGCAATACAGACAAAATACTGACTCAAGCCGGGCGGTGGTGGTGCACGCCTTTAATCCCAGCACTCGGGAGGCAGAGGCAGGCGGATCTCTGTGAGTTCGAGGCCAGCCTGGGCTACCAAGTGAGTCCCAGGAAAGGCGCAAAGCTGCACAGAGAAACCCTGTCTCGAAAAACCAAAAAAAAAAAAAAAATACTGACTCAATAATACAGACAGCTGGGTAGTGTAGAAATCTGACAGAAAAGCACAGAGGGAAGTAGACTGTCACCCCATATTATTACTTTGCTGCTGGCTCTGTTCAAGGCCAAGCATGTGCATCTGCTTGGACTATAAATGGATAAGGAACATTCTGATAGGCTTCGTAGTGGCTTTTTAGAAGACATTGTCCCTTAAGTATGTTTGGTACACCTTGATACTGAACACTCCCAAGAGTAATACCAAACTTGCTCAACTTTCATTCATCTGCTGAGAATTTTTTTTATTATAAACACAATAGATTATTTTCCTGAAGAACAGGGTCCTGTGGTCATTTCTTCCCATACCCTGGCATCTTCTTGGTGTACCCCCAAGAACTAAAAGAGTTACAATAGAACAGTGAAGCCATCATGGTTTTGAGTAATCTTTAATGATGTGGGAAATTGGTCTGTGAGCAAACAGAAAAAAAAGCAGGGAAACTGGATAGACACTACAATCCAAATCTGTTTAGACATATGTATTTACATGCTTGCACATTCAAAAGTAGCTGCATTTTTTTTTTCCCCAAGAGGACCGTCTACTGGAGTTTCACGACTTTTACTTCGTTAGCTGTTTTCAGGTGCATTTATTTATAACCAAAATAAAAATAACACAATGTAACTAAAGTAATAGCTAGACAAGCAAACAGACCAAAAAAAAGAGACCGGGTTCGCTGTGGACACAGGAAGCTAGTGAATTCTTCTGGAAGCCTCTCTGACTCCTGACTCTTGTGACAACAGTATCTGGGAGGAATGGCAGGAGTCATTCTGATTAGTTTCTGATTAGTAGAGCTTTACGAAGGCTCTCATTGCAAAGAGAGGTGAGGTTTGGAGGATGCTAGTTTTTTCTCTTAAAATTACTGGAGCCTTCCAGGAGTAATAGGGACTATTTCAAGCATTGTATGGCAAGGCAGCTAATTTAGAAGCTCTTTGAAGACAAGGACCTTTTCTCTTTCTCATGTTTATCTACATAGAGGAAAATGTCTCAATCATAATGTCCAGCAGATGCTGAAATAGAAAGAAAACACAGGGAGAAAATATCAAGTTCCTGGAGGTACAGTCCAGCAAACTTTGGAAGACAATAAGCTTCATTGTGTCAATGCAAGATCTTCACAGAATCGTTGGTTTTAGGGATGGCTGGGTCTTGCTGAACACTAGGAAGAGTGCAGTTTAGAAATGGAGATATCGGAAAGGCAGCTTATGGTAGAGATTATTTATAATTTTATATTTAAAGTAAAGAACATGTATTGATTTGGGGGAGTCAAATGGGATTCTGGATGCTGGAGGTGAGGATCTGGATGATAGAGGAGTCTGGGAGTTACAGTATGGTCATGTGGATGGGTTTTAAATCCTGAGAATCACTTGATGAAATAGTTGGCTTTCTTGTTTATTATTAAAAAGACAGAGTTGTCTTTTAAACATTAGTGATAATCATCTTCATTGTCTCCAAAGCCTATGGTCATCTCTAACCTGTTTATATATTTCTAATCCCTAAATATTAAAACATACATTCATTTCATCTACTTATAAACCAATTGAAAATGCCTTTTGAGGTGTTCTTTTTTTCTTCTTCTTCAATATTTCATTCTCCAGGATTCTATGTTCCTGGTATTAATTACAATCAGTATTTCTCTGGAAAGTGGACAAGAAGTATACTAATATGTTATCACTTCCAGAAAAGAATCTGCAACTATTCAACAGAAAATGCTCACACAAAGCCAGGATAAGGGTGGGGTCAGCAGAGAATAAGAAAGGAGAGCTCTCTAGCAAGGACCCAGCCATTCACTGCAATCCAGACAAGATAATGCAAAGAAAAGGCAGAAAGGCATGTGTACCATGGCTATACTGTGTGTGAGGACACGTGTGTATACCATGGCTATGCTGTGCGTGTGAGAGCACATATGTGTGTAGCATGGCCATGCTTGTGAGGGCACACATGTGTGCACTGTAGAAGATACTCTGTGTAAAGGCACATGTAGCCGGAAGGTTTCTCCGATCCCGCCCGGCCCCGCAGTCCCAGCAGGCACACATGTGTGTAGCACAGCTATGCTTGCATGTGAGGGCACGTGTGTGTATACTGTGGCTATGCTTGTGTGTGAGGGTACATTGTGTACTATGCCTATGCTTGTGTGTGAGGGCATACAGTGTGTATACGGCTATGTTTATGTGAGGGCACACGTGTGTGTACTATCACTATGCCCCAGTAAACTGTCTTTCTAAAGTGTGACTTTCCTAAGCCTAGACACATTCCAGGGTGGAAGACAATTGAAATCCTCGCCTGCATATTTGAGCACCAGGCCATTCTTACATGGAGTTCTACTGAGTCTCAGAGCTCCTGGGGGAAAGTCATTCAAGCTGTAATTCACCCGTTTCTACAACCTGGACCAATCAAAAGCCCTTGACAAGTCTCTCTCATTCCAGTTTCAAGTTATTCTCAAGACACGATGGCCGCATGCAAGTAAGTACTTTATGATTTTCATCAGTGAATGGTGAAAACCAAGACATGCCCATCATGCACTGAGGTGACTTCTCTGAACTAGAGTCCACAGGAGCCTCAGAGTTGAAGATTGGCAATTCTTTACCTAAACTTAAAAATCTAATAGAAAGGAGAATATTGATGAGAATACTGTTTCCCCAAGTCAGAGGCTGCAAAATACAACGTACTCCTGACTTCCTTCAGCAAACCTTACCACAGTGTCCTTCAGGCTTCTCTGCTGATAGGGCTTCCTGTAGCTGTGTGAATACACACATACGGCATCCTACAGCTATGGGAATACATGCACGGTGCCGCATACCCCACAGAGTTGGTAAGACCTTACGGCATGAACTGGATTGCCTGGGCATAGACCCCTTACTTTACTAACTCTGTGACTCGGTGATCACCTCTGCATGCAGTGCCTCAGCTGCCTTGGTGGAGAAACAGGAACCCTGATCGGTAAGACCGTTGACGTCACAGGGCTATGGCCACGAGGGCTAAATGAGCCAGCAGACCCTAGATGCTCAGCACAGTGTCGTGCAAGACGGAACAGCCTACAGATAAGGTCAGGACTAGAGAAAGTACCCTGTGTTTTCGCTTTGCAAACAGGTTGTCAAACGGAGTCATCAGATCCCTGGCTCCCACTTCCCACAAGGAAGCTCAAAGACAACCTTCTAACATGACCTTTAGGGAACATAAAGGTGGCAAAGGCATCAGCTAACGTACCAATGCAAGCTCCTTTCATTAAAACAGAATTCCCTGGTGTTGATCACAACGGTTACTTTCTCAAATATTCTCCCTTCTGCACACTAAACCCTTGGAGCCCAGAGCTGAGAGGGTAAGCCCCATCGCTTCCTCACTTGCTCATGAACAAAACGTTCCATAGAAGACTCCTAGTTGCATCGTTTGTCCAAAGATCCATTCAAAACCACACTGTTTCCTTTTTTTTCTTCATTTCCTGCAAAGTAAAATATTTTTTTTCATGAACTTAGAATTAATATATTTGGATAACTAAGAAAATCATTACCAGAGATATGATTTTATACAAAGACTATTTCAGAGTAATCATAAAGCATCTGGGTGGTGTCTGCTAACATATAAAACCACCTAACATATGTAGTATGAACCAACTAGGTGGAAAAGTCAGACTGTCTGAGTGTGGGATCAGCACTGACCACAGAGCCCGTCCGTACTGTGATTTTTCATCGTGTTAGACACAGTTTAAGAACGGCGACACAGCTTGGGGCACTGATTACAAACTAGTTGGCAGAGATAATCAAAAAGTTACTGAATGCTGACTGACCCATTGTCTGACAAACCTTCCACTCAGGCGTTTATTTTATTCAGATAACCTTGGTCGAGGATAAACCCTACAGAGAAGAGATCACAAAGCCAATTCACAGATAAATGCGGACCTTCCTCACTGATAGCCTCATCTGTCTCAGACCTGGAAACTAGAAATACTGATAACTACCTTCAAAAATTGTAGATTCCTGTTGAGTTTATCCTCTCTATTGTCAGTATGTGTCTCTAGCTGTGGCTCATTTGATTAGGACTGCGGAGCTTGCTAAAATTCACTTACAACTGGATACCAAAGAAGCCAGAAGATGAGAATTTTTGCAAACATAATTCATTGTGTGGCATTGGAGCCAAAGTTTTACATTATTTGAAAAATGAATATTTGCTCAATTTTTTTCTTCATATAAAAAAAGAAATTTGCGCCATGTAAAACTTGGAGAGAATTGGTTTCTGCTAATGAATTTAATGAGCATTTACATACATATACACAGACACACGCATATATACACACACGTATTCAGAACAGGCCATGGGCCGACACTGGCTCTCATCTTTCAGTCCTATCTACCTCCTGGGAGGTTCTACTCCATTTAGACACTGAGCCTCTGTCGAGGGCTAAATAAGAAAGAGGAGACTGGCTCTCCTAAGGCTTCAGCTCAGGTATCGTGCCAAGGTGTTAGTTTAAGGCAGGGTTGAGACACACGCTAATTGGCTTTAATCCCAATGTTACAGGCTAAGGGTTCTCTTAGACGAGCATGGCGCATGCTCCCTTCAGATGGCGCTAGTGAGTCCATCCTTGTCTCCAGCGTCCTTCTCAGGACCCAAGTACAAGGCACCTCGGAGTGAATTCGCTTCTGGTACCCGTGCGTTCTCCTGGCTCAGTCTTTCTGCAGGTTCTGGAGAATTCTCCCTCCAGCTGGGGCTTGAGTGCGGCTGGGAGACTTCCCACAGGGCAGGGCACGGAGGAGGGAAGCCCACAGCGGGCCGTGCGAGCCTGTCTTCTTGAAGGCTCACTTCTTGGAGGCACCTGTTGGAGAGCACTTCTTTTTCTTTGGAATTCCGCCATTTCATCCTTCTGTTCTGAAACCAGATCTTCACCTATCGATAAAATAATCAGGGGGGGAAAAAACCACTTATTCTAGGTACAGAGCTTTAGTGTTTTACTTAGTTCTTTTACTTGGGCCTCATACGTGCTAGGCGACCACATAGTCAGCCCCTTCCTTCAGCGTTTTCAACTGTCCACTGCTTCTACTACACATTCTGCAGAATTCCTTACTGAAAAATCCCTGTGGCTTTTCCTGTGGGTTCCTTGAAAAGCACCAGAAAGATCAACATAACATCCCATGTACACTTCTAAACAGAGTGAGTGTGGGATGATGACCACATGCTATATTTTTGGTGGATTTTGAAATTAATTTTGTTTTAAGTATTTTAAAACATTATTTAAGCTATGCTAATACATATATGCAAGAAAAATTGACTAGTATAGACCCTGTGTGTTTTGATTTGGGGGTATTAGGTTTAGTTGCTTGGTTGACATGGAAGGTATGTGTGTGTGTGTGTGTGTGTGTGTGTGTGTGTGTGTGTGTTATGTTTTCACATGTGTATGTATGCACATATGTGTATGTTCAAGGTGTTTATATATGTATGTATTGTGTGTGTGCTCGTGTGTGTGTATGATGTTTGCATACATGTATTATGTGTATTGCAGGGTGCTTGTACGTGTATGTGTGGTGTGCGTGTGCATGTGTGTGTTTTATGGTTTGATGAGGTATTCATTTCACATCTAAGGAAACTGAGGTTTGGAGAGATTAACCAACTCAAGAGCACACAGCAGAGCAAAGGGAAGAGCTTCAGCGCCTGGTATCAGGCTGTGTTGACATGCAGACCTCACCACAAGCTTTTAACATTAAATTAACAATACATTTTGTAATGCTTTGATAAATGTGGGCTTTATACAGCTTCCAAGTTTTGATTACTCCCAGGATTTATCAAACTATGATAATTAGTTCCAATAAATAGCAAATGATTGTAATTAACCCAGAAGGTGGTTTGATCTGAATCATAACTTCCCCCACCATACCGCAACTTGACTCTGTGATTAACCACCCTATCCACTGTACACTCAGCCATCCTTGACCAGAAGAGTTTCCAACTACTTCCCCGGCATTTCAAAAGCAGAAAAAGTCATTGCCACTACACTACATCCTTGCACTGACAATTTACATTTTCATTTTGAAACAACAACAAAACCCTAGTTAAACTCAGTGAGTCTAGAAAAATGAATGCTTGAAAGGCAATTCTAGGATAAAGGGGATAACGGGATGAGAGAGACTAGAAAAGGATGGGCATTCAGGTATCAGAACATACTATATACATGTGTGCAACTATCAGCAAACAAACTCAATCATCATTTATAAAACACTTCCATTAGAAAAAACGTTTACCCAAGAAAATAATTATTAAAATATAGCAACCAAGAGGGCTGGGGATGCCTCTCAGTGAACAGAGCACTCCCCTAGCATGTGCAAGGCCTGAATCAAACCCCAGAACCACCCAAACCAAACACGGTATCACATGCCTACAACCCCAGCACTCAGGAGGCAGACACAGAAATAGCTGGAGTTCAAGGTCATCCTTGGTTGGCTAGGAAGTTTGAGGTCAGCCTGAAGCTACATTAGATTCTACTTTTAAAAATCACACACACACACACACACACACACACACACACACACACACACACACACACGGAGATGGTCCTTCTACACTGACTAAACAGTCTCTTCAACGTTTCCCTCTAAATGACTACACAGGACATGGACTCCAGGCACCTGAGTGTCAATGACCACTGAGTCAGTTACAATGCAGAGAGACCAGCTTTTGCTAAGAAAACAGCTCTAAAGCTCGCACACCAGGACACTCTGAATGCATTTATAATTAGCAGCGGCCATTGGCTCCTGGAAAACTTGCCAAGTTCTTCCTGTGCGTCTTCACCCAGAGTGCTCTTCCCATAGGTGTATCTGCTTTGCTCAACACACACTTGCTTTCTTTCATTCTTCTTTCCTTAGTGCACACGTGTGTGTCTGTCTGTCTGTGTGTCTGTGTGTATCTGTGTATCTATGTCTGTGTCTGTGTGTGTGTATGTGTGTGGCTGTGTGTGTGTGTGTGTGTGTCTGTGCATGTGTGTGTCTGTGTGTGTATGTATGTGTGTGTCTGTGTATGTATGTGTCTGTGTGTACATCTGTGTATGTGTGTCTGTGCATGTGTGTGTCTGTGTGTATGTATGTGTGTGTGTGTGTGTCTGTGTATGTATGTGTCTGTGTGTGCATCTGTGTGTGTGTGTGTGTGTGTGTGTGTGTGTGTGTGTGTGTGTGCGTGTGTGTGATGTGCATGGAGGGAGAGAGACATCAGGATACAGAACAAAGCTTGATTTAAGTAATCTCTGAATAAAAAGCCATGAAATAATTTCTTCACAATCAATGGAGGAATACATATATTTAGTGAAATACACAGAAGTCAAACATCTCTCAATGAACACAAAAACAACTCCAAGTGGATTAAATAGCTAAACATAAAAAGAAAACTACAAAATTTCTAGAAGAAAGTACATGAGATTGTAATTATAGTCTTGAGGACACAAATTCCTTTTAAAGCAATCATCAAATAATGAAGACGACAAAGCAGAGAAGACAGAGCTGGCTACATAAAATAGACATTTCTGTGCAAATAAACACACTAGAAACATATGAAAAAACAAAAAAACACTCAAAAGAATTCAAAGTAGGAATCTGGGAGATATTTGCATACATAGCTTCCCAGCAGTATTACCTATAATATCCAAATATTAGAAATAATCAAGATCATCAATAGATGAATGGTTATGCAGATATAGTACATCCCTACAATGGAACATGATTCAGCTTTGGGAAGAAAGGTAATTCTGAAACTTGTAACAATATAGATGAACCTGAAGACATTGTTAAGGAAATTAATTCAATTAATAAAATGCTGTATGAGTCCACTCATACAAAATTCTTATACTCAATATGTCTCTCTCTATACTACAACAGAAAACAGAATGGTAATTGGTAGGGTCTTGGGCTGGAGGAAAGGAGGAGGTGTTAAGTTTGGGGTAGTTGGGAGGGGACTGAGGTAGGGGAATAAGGAGGTACTGGGAGTTGATACAGTTTCAGTGTTACAAGATGAAAAAACTCTGGAGATGAATTGTGGCAACAGTTATGGGACAGTGTAAATGCACACAGTGTCACTGAAGTTAGAACTTTGAAAGGTTAAAATGTTGTGTCTTGTATACATATTTTACCACAGTAAAGAAACACACAAGTGTGGACAGAGATGCTAAAATATCTGTAACAAGAAAGTGGAGCTAACCTCAATATTCTAAATATCTTGATTAATATCCCAAATAATTGCTGCATGTCAATGAAAGTACAACCAGTGGAAAATATACAACTATAAAAAGCCAATTCATATACTGCACATTGCCAATAAATTATCAAAAGCCTCTAAAATTCTAGTAGCTAGGAAAATTCAAACTAAGAAATAATAATAAATGCAACCATCTACAAGGTTGATAAGGCTTTTCAAAGTAATAAAGGATAAAGGGTTTGCAATAAAAGGACTCATATGACTGGAAATTTTATATAAATCAGTATCTAGATTGATCTAAGACTCTTTGGAAGGACTTTTAATCTTTTAGAATTTGAAATATATACATGAACATTTTAATATATAAATTCTGCAGGGTTTCTCTGTATAGCCTTGGCTGTCCTGGAACTCACTCTGCAGACCAGGTTGGCCTTGAACTCACAGAGATCTGCCTGCCTCTCAAGTGCTGGTATTAAAGGTGTGTGCTACCACTACCTGGCTACAAAACGTATTTTTTAAATACACAAAGAAATACAATGCCAAAAACCCAGAAGTAACTCAAAGCTTGGAATGTCTTATATGTCCACAGGGTGATGTGTAGTGAGGTTCACATGAGATAAAATGAAAAAGATCTACAGGTCAGGCACAAAGGACCCATCTTGTAACACTTGAGAAAAGGAGCCAAACAGTCTACATGGCCAACTGTGCTGCCTATGACAGCCAAATCTGGGAGGAATGCATGTGATTGTCATCAACAGAATGGCTTGTGTTACCATGCAGTGGTGATACAGCAAAGTAGAGCAGAAACACTTGCCATGGTATAAAGAATCTCCCCTAAGAAAATGCTGCAGAAGCCACATACAAAGAACTCGTACTAAAAGGATCTGTTTACACAAGAGGTAGAAATGTGTACTACACTCATCTACCACGCTGGGAGCTGAGATGGTGTGTGACCTTGAAGAACACAGACTGACTAGGAAGGGCTATCAGAGCTTCCCTGACTTGTGAAAAGCCAAAAAGGACACACAGAGGCCATCACACTGACAAATATAGTTAGTCACACACATACACATTCCAGGTACCAACTTTTTTGCAGAGCAAGGATAATACAATGAATAGCAAACACTTCTTAGGATCCTTGCAGGCATTAAGGGACATCAAATGCTGGGTCACCAGTAAGCATCATGCAAGCATGAGAGTAATTGCAATTTGTGCATATCCATCCTATGTACAAATTTATGTTGAGTCTGTTGTTTCAGTAAACTGGACCAAGGAGCATTTATAAATAGCAGTAAAAATGAAGCTGGATTGGAGAGATGCAAGGTGGACTTTCATTTGTAACTTCAAGTTCCCTTCTGTATGCCATAGCTGATCAGCATGGAAGTTAATAAAATGCTAAATTATTTATTCAATGCTCCCCTAAATTCAATACAAGAAGCATTCATTCTGAGATACCTGAACTTTTGAAACAATATAATTAAGTGAAACTATGTGCTTGGGTTTACGAGCCATTGTTTTCCTTGGTGTGGGGAGACTGTAGCCTTCCCTACAGCTTATAAATGACTGGGATTTGATATCAAGTGTCTCTGTAGCATGCTGCACAGATGTCAGAGACGCTCACGCTCACTCAGCACACGGCAAGGTGGAATGCAGCCCCTTCCATCTCTCAGCATCTGCTTCAAGCTGACAGACAACCCTGGGCTCCCCCTGAAATCCTGACCTGCGTATTTTCTCCGCTCTGACCATGGGTCTTCTCATCCCTGCCAGTGGCACTCCAGCCAAGCCCAGGGAGGCCTCTGCCACCCACTCTCCTGCCCATGAGGGAGGTCTGTCACCTGACTTCCTGGGGTTGCGGACTTTGCCAAGGCTGCTGCCTCTGGACGGGAGCATGGGAGGCATAGATGGCCGCAGCTCTATAAATAGCTTTTCCAACTACTGACCCCCCTCCCCTTCCAGTCTCACACGTCACGGCAATGTTGCTATCTCACCTCCACAGGGTAAGTGACTTCCGGGGATGCCAAGAGTGTGACCATCCACCAAGCACAGGGTCACAAACAAAGTAGACCCTAGAGATATAGCCACTGATCCATTCATATGCAAAACGGCTCTGACACTCATTAAATTCAGACTGAGCAATCAATTAAAGTTATGGACTAATAGCCCTCTACCACACAACATACTGCTTCGTACAACTATAAAGTATTGGGGATGGCATGGCAGCTTGTGGAACACACCATTTCCCCAGGGAAAGCAATCAAGGGTAATAGGAATTTCACACACTAGGACACGTTTGACATAGTGTCTTTTCCCCTTCGGCTCCTTCACACCAATTCAAAATATCCTGGTGGATGTGGGTCTATTTGGGAAGTGGAGCGCCTGTTGCATTTCAGCGACCACCATCCCCTTCAGCTAGATGCCTTCGTACTGGCTGGTTTTTATGTCAACTTGGCACAAGCTACAGCCCTCTGAGAGGAAGGAACCTCAGTTAAGGAAATGCCTCCATAAGATCAAGCTGTAGGCAAGCCTGTAGGGTATTTTCTTAACTAGAAATTGATGTTGGAGGGCCCAGCTCATTGTGGATGGAGCCACCCCTGAGCTGGTGGTTCTCTGTTTTGTACGAAAACAGGCTGAGCAAGCCATGTGGAGCAGGCTAGTAAGCAGCATCCTTCTATGGCCTCTGCATCAGCTCCTGCCTCCAGGTTCTGGCTGTATCTGAGTTCCTGTCCTGACTTCCTTCAATGGTGAATGGTGACATGGAAGTGTAAGTCAAAAAAACCCTTTCCTCCCCAAGTTGCTGGTTCATCACAGCCGTGGTAACCCTAAGACATCTTTATAGGGTGGGCAACCTGCACAGCTGTAGATGGTGGCTCAAGGTTAAGGAAACCAGAGTCCACATTAGGCTGTCTGGGGTGGAAACCTAGATCCCAAACAGCTTTGCCTCATGACACTGGACCTACATTCAATCTTCTGCATTTCTCCATCCAGAAGATAGACAGGATTGCAGGGAAGGAGGGTACTTATATAGAAGATGACAGAAAAACGCTAGTGTTCTATGAGCTAATTGGCCACCTTGGGAGAATCCTTCACTCCCAAAATTTGCATTCATAACTGTGTGGAACATTAGTGAGCAAGGAAGATGTAGATGCTGCAGATGTGAAATATGCAGGATAATGATACCCATGCAGAGGGGCCCTGGAGCCTCATATTCACTCTCTGATTTGGGATTGAAAAAGAAAAGGAAGACAGGAAAAGTGGTTACTGCTTTTGAAGAGAATTATTTAGTCTGCTTCTCTGGGTATAAAGATAACACACACACACACACACACACACACACACACACACACACACGAGGGGGGATGAGAATCATGTGATGCATCCTTGGTACTTCCCTTCATTTCAGAAAAATGCATGTTGTAGTTCAGCCTTGCCATCTCAGTGTGTGGATCTGTCTCCACACAGGACTTGTCCCATGTGTCTCTATCTACTGAAAATTCAGACCAAACACTTCAGAACATTTCGGGGCATGGCACAGTACCACACCTGACACAAGACATTCTTGCCAAAAGAACAAACTTCATCACGCTCCTGCTGAAACTAGGAATACGGGGCATCTCCCTCCTCATTGGTACCTGTGACTCCTTCAGTCCCAAGCTGACAGCAAGTTTCCTTCGGTCTGTTTTGCTGATGTACTTCTGCTTCTGAAACATTTTCTCCAGAGCCTTTCTCTGGTCCTCTGAGAACACAGCTCTTCTTAAAATCCCCCTTCGAGCTTTGGAATTTGAGTCCTGGGTGAGCAGAGGCAGCCCATGTTCTTCTCCTGGCAGAGAGGGAAAATGAAAAAGGGCACCAGGGTTAGAGAAAATTAGCCCCTCTGCCTATCAGAGTGGTAGTACCTCCTAGTGAGCACAGTGGCTGGCTGTTTCCTCTCTACAGCAAGAGCTAAGCTGCTTAAGCTCTCCAGGTCCCAGACTTCTCTGAGGACCTGATAAATGCTGATCATGGAATATGCTCCAGGGAGCCAATAAAATAGCACAAAAGTTAGCTCAATGCCCAGCCCTAGCAAGAGTCCCATGAATCTACTTCCCCCTTGGTAGCTCACTTGGTCCTTACATGGATCCTATAAATGCCACACCAACCACTCCCTAGATAAAGTGCTTGGAGTGACGCAGGTCCAATTCTATACAAAGGACACAAAACTCTGATGCCTCTCTGATGTTCTTGGTTCAGCCTGGCTCTTTCCTCTGCGTTTTGGCGCCCTTGATTTATGACTATATCCAACCTAACAGTGCAGGCAAATGTATTCAACATTAGGAGAAAAAGGCAGCTACTCAAAGAAATGGATAAACTACCCAGCAGATAAAATCTTGAGGACCCATTAATGATGAAGACTAAGGACAGACAGCAACAAAGGAAGAACCGCACATAGTGTTTTAAAGCATGCCAGCGAGATGTGTACTGCGCTTACAACCAGGAAAGAGTGCCAAGGAGAATCGGGGGAAAGGACCAAACAGAACACTACTGTGAGTCATTGCAGAAACATGGACATAGAATTCATGCCCACCGTCTACAGTTTAAGCTTGTATCCTTTACCCAGTGGGGAACAACTTGGCAGAGGTGATGCAGAGGCGCTGAGTGAGGGATGTCCTTAAGGTGCTCACAGTTGATGAGTAGAGGCTCAGGGGCTCTGACAGCAAGATGACACGTGAGCATCCCAGACAGCACAGAGCAACAAAGCAATGACCAGGGCAGGAGAGGCCATAGACAACACACAAACAGCCTTAGAGCAGGAGAGACCAACCAGCCAATCAGCAATGGCCAGGGCAGGAGAGACCATGGACAACATACAAACAGCCATAGAGCAGGAAAGACCAACCAGCCAATCAGCAATAGCCAGGGCTGGAGAGGCCATAGACAACATACAAACAGCCACAGAGCAGGAAAGACCAACCAGCCAATCAGCAATAGCCAGGGCTGGAGAGACCATAGACAACATACAAACAGCCACAGAGCAGGAGACACCAATTAGCAATGTAGAAATGAAACGCATTCAAATATCCCTACAACTTTCAAGAGAAGCCCTTAGAGTTTCAAGAGAAGCCCATAGCAAATTATTTTTAGGGAAAAAAAAAAAAAGGAGCAAAGATTCCTACAGATGGTCTAAAGGTGCAGTTATAACATTCTGGGGGTGGGGGCTGGGGGCATGGACTGAAATCAGACCTCACCCTCCAAAGAACAGACCTACTGAACCCATAGCTAAATTCAGGTAATAACTGAGAAAGCCCAGTTTCTCAGGCTTCGGTGCACGAAAATGAACAGTAGCCACCAACGAACAAGCAGAAGCTATGGCAAACACAAAGACCATTATATCCTTCATGGGTGCCCCCTTCCCCGCCCTCACCCCCATGCCACATCTCACCCACGTATCATTTACCTCGGCAACCCAACACAACCCTTTTCCATTAACAATGCACCAGGAGTCCATGTGAGGTTAATTTAGCCTCTCTGGCTTCCTGACCTCACCCTGGGCAGCTGCCCTATGACTATTGTTACAGGAGGCCCTCAATAGGCCTCTCCAGGGGCACATGCTCCCCATGCATCCTGACTACCAATATGCATGAAGCTTACAAGTCGGTAAAAATACAGAGGAGTAAGGACAGAGTGGCAAACGTAAGCCCCAAGGTAGGTCATTATAGAAGTATGGACAAGTAACCCATTTTCCAGTAGAAAAAGCAACCACTGTAGCAACCTTTTTTTTGGGGGGGGAGGGGGGTTTCAGAGTTCCTGCATATCCCTCCTGTAGTTCCTAACCCTGCCATGTTTCATTCCAAACTCTGTTCCCAATGTGGGCTACCCAAGGGTCATACAGCCCAGCCCACTTCTAAGAAGCCCTGTTGTTTCCACATTAAAAAACCAATCTATAGACTGCTAGTCCTCATCCCACCCCCACGGCTTTGTAAGGAAGGCAGAGGCACCAGGATAGGGAACAACATTGAATCTAGACAGCTTCGGATTCTCAGGAAAATTCTTTCAGGATAACTCGAGCTGGAGGCCATCAACAGCCCTTCGAGAAGGAAAACTCTTTGATCCTCCTAATGAACTCAGTCACTTCTCAGAGCTGGAGGAGGCAGAGCCACTTGTTCGACACAGGCCTCTCCAACGGGCCAGCTAAAGTGCCACCAGCCTCCATTACTGTTCCTCAAATTTCTCTATGAAAACCTGGAGTCTGTGTCTCTGGGGCCTGATGCCAGTGTTCCCCTACTGAGGAGGGTGTGGTGTTGTCTGCGGGCCTGTGTCTTCCTGCTGTGCTGTCCTTAACTGCTCAGCTCCCTCTTCCAGAGGTTTCTATCCCTCATCTCTCCAGTGAAGAGATTCCTCACCACAATTTTCAAACATGTGTGTATGCATCTGTGGGTGTACGCATCTGTGTGCCTGTGTTTGTATGGATTCTGTAGATCTGTCTGGCCTGTCCTAGGAGAATCTAAAACCTATCCTCAAGCCTCCATATAATCCAGGATTTGGACTTAGGATTCTACTCCATTTAGACCTTCTTCACCAAGTTGGGTGTGGTGACTGTAGAGGTCTTTCACTGTCTGCCTTCCTCTTAGCTTGGTTTTTACTACTCAATGTGCCTTTTAAAGGGTTTCCAGAGCCATTCACGGGCAATCTGAGCCTTGCAGAGTTCAGTAGGAGTTCGGTCTTCTCCTCTGCACAGTCTGTGGCTAAAGCACACCCACATCCCAGTCAGAGTCTGCAGACACACACTGAGATGGCATTGCACTTCTTTGCCCCACTTTGCTCTATCCAGTCCACCCTCCCCTCTCCTGTTCTGTACTTGGGCCCTTGATTAGGGAACTGAAAATCAGGATTTTGTAAGCAACCCTATATTTGACTTCAAGTGATATTCAGGGAATGGGTTATAGGCAAGCATCCCACAGGCCTAGGAAGTCCCACTATTACTGACTAGGCTGAACCCTCAGGCAGAAAATGCCTCTGCCTCTCTAGAGCTTTGAATAGGGCCATCAACTTGGAAAGCCTATAGTTTTCCGTCTCTGGTCCTTCAAACATTCCTCTTGGTTGACCAAATGTCATTTATCTGTGCAACATCACTCCATCACTTTTGAGAAGTCAATACCTAGATTCAAATTATCTACAAACTCCATTATCTTCTTTCTAAATTAAAATGAAATGTATCCCTCCGAAGATCTTAGAATGGTTAAATCAAATCTCTGTATGTGTTAGATATTTTACACTCGTGTGCACATATGTGCCAAGAACTGCATTCAGTCTCTCCTAGGTTTTCACAGCTCTGGGCAGTTTCTTCAGACTATCCATCGCTCCAGCTGAGAGCAGTAAAACCAACCCCCAGGTCAGGTGGCAACAATATTATTAATCAGACCATTGCCAGTCTTTGACAGTGAGACCCACAGAGCCAACCTACATCCACCTGGTAAAAATAATGCTCCTTCCCTGCTGCCTTCCACTCAGACTTGGAGTGGATATGATGTTCCCTTAAGTTTTAACAAGGAAAAAAGAAGGCAATAATGAGCTGGAAATGTCAAATATAAGTGCATCTTCTAGGAAAAGGCTGAGTAGTTTGTCCCAGTGACAGGCTTTCTCTGCTCAGACTTACATAAAGTTGGCTCCAAATTGAAGTTCTGTTTTCTAGGGCATAAAATTCTTGAAAGGTCAAGTTGGGTACTCAAAGGCAAAATGAAGTAATTATCTAATTAACTCAATTTGCTAGCCTCCCTAATTAAGATTTCAATGTTTCAAGGTAGCTTTAAAAAAAAAAAGTCATTACCTACATCATTTCCACAACTTTCCTTTTCATTATACCTGAGAAATGTGTTATTTTTGAAAATAAGTTTATGAATGTAATATCAAAGATTTTGCCATGCAATGCTTTAGGGGAGGGGCCAGCTTTTACTGGTGCCTTTCAATTTTCTCTACTGTTCTCAGTGTTTTAGCATAGTGCTGAAACAGCCTATTAAACCCTTTACTGCATGTGAGAAGGGCACCGGGCAAATGATGGCTTCCACATTGCAATAAGAAGTCAAGCCTGAATCTGAGACGTCGAGAAAAACCTCAATCGACATGAAACAAATGAATCACGGTATGAGTGGAGAAGGCATTTCACTTGCTTAGCTGCAGATGTGCTGACCCGATCCTGGGCTTTGGGAAAACGTGAAGTCAACACTGTGAAATAGCAATGGCACCCATGAGTTTCATCACTTGTTAAAACTTTCAGTACAAACCTCAGTTTTGGCTGTCCAAGCGGAAACTTAACACAAGTTTACTTGAACAGTTCATTTTCTTTCTCTTTTTTTTTTTTCTGCAATGGAAAATTATTTAGCAACTTGGACATAAACACTTATTATTTTAAAAAAGAAAATCTAGTAAATTCCTTTAGTAGAAAAAGCACTTCAGATGTAAAGCTCATTAGCTGGGCCCTGGTTATCATGGTTGTTTTTGTAGAATTCTTTATGGACAGCAAGATCCCACCATATTATTAGCTGTTGCCAACTCGAATGAGTATTATAAACAGGAAAATAAGATATTCATTTCAGGGTTATAACTAATAATGTGACACAGCACCACTTATTAAAAACACATGTAGGATCTCTAAATGGTCTTAAAAGGCCAGCATTAGGAGGACAGACAAGTCAAGGGCAGCATTTTCTATCCTTGATCCGAACTGCACTGATCTTTCAAGCCATGTGTTTATTTATTTATTTATTTATTTTACCAACATAAACACAGGGCTTTAAGCCCTGAGGGATGAGCATCATTTCCAACAGCTAAGCAGAGGGGATCGAGTGTGAAGAACTGAGAACTAATGAGAGAAAATGGGACCTGCTTAAAGTAATCATCTGAGCTCTTGAGAAAATGACGTGCTCTATTAAACTGGCCTGATGATTTTTTTCCTATTTATTAAACTGGCCCAAACTTTTATGGGTTAGAGACGCTTTTAAAACACCCCTATAAAATAAGTACACCATGCTGCCATGTACACTCACATGTCTGAACATCCCTGTCACATGAAACTTTGGTGCCTCTTTCCACACACCTGAACTGTGGCATTAGCAACCTTCTGAAGGAAAAGATACCAAGACGGAGTAAGTGAAACAAAGTGTGAGACCCCGTTAATAGACAGAGGTGCCTCTGAGATGAGGTTCTTAACATCTGGGTTTGTGTCTCCTCCAGACATCTTTGCCTGCCACTCCAATATCTGGTGATAAATGGTTCCTTAATTTGCACAAGTTTTCAATCGCCCTTGTAGGGGACCACCTTGAAGGAGCGAGTAAAAGGTTTAGTCATGGTTTCTATCCCACTATTCAAATTCAATACATTCCAGTTAAATCGACAATTAATAGGTCACTGCTAAAATAGCCGTGTATCAGTCCTGGTTAATAAACAATCCCCACAGTTGATAATGGGCCCTGTGTATTCAGCAAGTCCCTATATACAGTCAGCTCGGGCACTAAATCCCCTTTCAGGTGGACAGGGCTATATGGGAAGATGAGCTAGAATGAGTCTATAAAAGTCAGTTTCATTCATTGCTTTATTTTCAGTCAAGAGCTTTAAATGGTGTCCAGAAATTCACTTGGAATGTGAAGCAGGAGAAAAGACTGACACACAGAGCCTGGCTTTATGACCACACAAAAGGACAAATGACCCTTGCCCAAGCCCTCTCACTGTGCAATGGTCCCTAAAGTTCATCGGCAGAGTGAAAAATCGTGGTGAGGTCGCGTGTGGATGAGTCCAGCAAAAGTGAGGATTGGTCACGGGTCTGTCACCCATTGTAGCCACGTCCCAGCCGTGTAAAGCGCTCTGTGGGAAAGTATCAGCCCCCTAAAGAGAAGCTCAGAGGCCTGCAGCTCATTAAACAGCAGCATTTGCTGCCTCGCTTGTTGGGAGTCATTTTTTTGTGGGGCAACTGCTCTCCTGAAACATCCATAAAAACGCAGGAACACGTACGGGGCGGTGGGGGTTGAAAACGGCCATGCGGCTGTGGCTCGGGACTCCTCGCCCTCGCTCCATCCACTCTCCCCTGGCGTGGGTGTGTACCTGTGGGAGTGCCTTCTCCTCCCTCCACGGCCCGCCTCACTCTAAAGCTCATCCTGTGGATTCGGCTGACATCCCAGGACACCTGTATGCCCGAGAGAGTGCGGGCACCACGCTGCTGCTCTGTTCGGTTCCTCCTCTTCTTTGCCAGACACTAGTGCATTTTTGCTTTTAGAACGTCTAGAGACCAGTTCCCTGAAAACATTCCCTACAACCCCGGTCTGTTTTCCTCAGGAAGACAGAGGCAAGAATTTACCCCCCCGCCCCCTTATAACCTCCAGTTTCTAAGTGTTTTCTAGACCTGTAACTTTCTGAGTCTTCTGAAGCCGAATGGGAACGCCACACAGCCACTCTCTTTACCCACTTTCCCCGCTTCTTTAAAAGAAAGAGCCAAACTGGTCCCTCTGAGATCTTTTATATCAAATGGAAAACAAGCCCTTGCCTTGGCCTGTCAGCTCCGGGCTTAGTGTGGCCGAAAACCCTCTCACAATTGTCCACTGTGCCGGGGTTTGATAATCTCTGGAAACCTCCTGAATAGGGTCGCTGTGATTTTAAGTGAGGAATTAGCTCCTTGCCGCTGCACTGCCAATTAGCTTCCCGGAGCACATTAAACCCTGCTGCTTCGGTTTACAGAATAACTGAGGCATTGCTGATGGAGCATTAAAACTTACTTGGAAAAGCTGTGGGGGAGGCGGGGCGCCTGCAGGACCCACCGCAGCACGCCGAGTAGAAGGGCAGAGCGCTCAGGAGGAAGGGTTTGGAAGGCACTGCAGAGAGAGCATGGATCTCATTGATTAACCGTTCCTCTTACACAGTCTCCAAACCTCCAGCTTTCCCCCAAGGCCCTGAGTAAAAGCACTCCATGGCTGAACCTTACCTCGGTTCTAACTTGTGCTGAAATTAAAGTCATTTGGAAATGTCAAAGGTCTTGCCAAGTACTTTCCTCAGGATTTGGAGGATGTTGTGGAAAGACTCAAGGCCGTGTGGTTGTAATTACAAATAATGAATAGCGACTGTTCTTTTATACAAGGCACACTAGAGTGATAATATGCAAGGGGCATCTGCAATGGTGGACTCATCGGCATCCGCCCTGGCCAACATGGCAGCTTCTGGCCAAACGGAATTGCCAAGCTCAAATACGGCTAGCATGAGCAGGTACTAAATCTTCAGACAAAATTAATTTAAATTTAAAGAGGCTCTTGTGGCTAAGGATTACAACATTAAATGGCATGGTTCTAAACGTTCTACTTACCAAGAAACAATTTAAATGCCTGGTTTTTGAAGAGATTATATCACATCAGTGTTCATTTTCATGTTATATGAAAGATGTAGTTAACTGGATTCCCAAGACAGTAAGAACTAATTTACTGAACAGTTCCTTAGTAAAAGTACTGTTTCTGATTCCGGTCACTTGTTTTAAAGTATGTAAGAACAATTACATTGCCTCTCAAGGTAAATCTAGTTACCTGAAAGCATGTTTACAATGTAGTGAGTCATCCCCTAATTCTGTCCTGTTTAGTTTATTCAAGCATATGATTCATAAAGCTGTTAAGACATGTTCATGGGACCCTGCACATGTGAGGAGGAGGTCTAATTGGGTGTCTAAACAGTCATGAGGGTTTTTTAATATGATCATATATTGTTCTGACATTTTGACTACACCATCACAGACATAATAATCATTTGAATCTAATATTCAAGAAAAAAATTTGAACTCCATAGAAAAACAGCTATGAAGACTATCATAGACTCTAATAGGTATTGTTATTGAGAACTAAGTGCTAAGACTGGTTAAATGTCTTCTACATACCATGTCCTTTAATAAAATGCATTTAGTACAGTATAAATACGGGGGTCACCATTTCCTGAAGGTAGGCACCTGCTTTTACCCTGACATACAAAGCAGCATTACCTGATATATTATAAACAGTCAGATTTTCAAGAACTGAATAAATGAGCTTTAAAATAAAGAACAGGAAACTTCCCAGGTCTTCTAAGGAAATGGAGATAAAACATTAACTTTATTCTGCTCCCCAAGAACACCCTCAAATATGGTATCTCTTGAGACTGATGACCTTGAAATCTAAATTTCAAATGAAAATAAAGGTTTTGTTTTTTTTTTTCTCTTGTGTTCAGATGGCAACATCTTTCCTTTTCTGGATCACACCAGGGAATCTTACTTAGATTGGATATGCCTACACTCCTTTTTAAAGAACACAGTATTTTCAGACGTTCACTTTTATCAACCAAAAAAGCATGTATTTATTTGTACTGATTTCTTTAAAGGGTATGATAAGACAAATAGATTGCCCAAGAAAAAAATATTTATGGTATTTGTAGAAGCCTGAGGGCCTCAAAATTGTAAACTAGTTAGAAACCAGTACCTATCCCTCCTATCACACAATGTTGAGATGTCAATATTAATGTTTTTACATTTTAAATAAATTTCTAAAAAAAGTTAAGTGTTCTTAAAATTTGAAACTAAGCAAAGACATGAAATGACAAATGATTTTGATTTTCTAAAATTAATTAAAAATAGCTTTATTACTATTATGAATTGTTCTTAGTGTTGACCATAAACCATCACAGAAATGATAAATAATTTTATATGAGTTTTATTTACATTTTGTATTATAAGAGTAGTCCATGGAATCTTAATGTGGCCACCTGAACAAGATCTGCATAATGACACCAACTGACATTCCAACATGGATGGAGAAAATCTCACAAGGCCCCACTCCTAAATGAAGAGCTACAGGCAACTGGCAGCCACTAAGAGAGGAAGAAGAGGTCTTCTCTAGGGACAAGCTGCCTGATGTTGTCCAGACCCAAGTGGTCAACCTTAAAGACACACAACGTATAAGCAGCACTGAAGGGACTCCACATATGGGCGGGGGGAGGTATCACAATAATAATGAAAGAAGTCATGAAGTTGAGAGGTAATCAGAGGATTTGGGAGTTGCTGAAGGCAGAGAGTATGGGCTGAAAATGATGTAAATACAGTAGCCATATACGAAATTCTCAAAAAAATAAAGTTAACGAAGAGTATGGCATCTTTAAGTAATATTTCCATTACTGCTATGCATATATGAAACACCTTGAAAATGGTAATGTATTCCTAGGTATAAAAATGTTTTCAAACATTTTTAACTCACTACCTCTCCAAAATGAGCATTCTTTACATGATTTTAGGCTCTTCTTTGTTTTTACTAGGTAGGAAAAAAAGATTCAGCAATATTGCAATTACATACATAAAGTTAAACATTTACCATGTTATCTAGAAGCATCAAAACTGTGTATGTCCATTTGAGTTTTTTTCAAGTATAGAACATAGAGCAAAACAGTGCAAGGTATAAATAAAGTGTACATTTTCCAATTCTAAAAAAAAAAAAATTCCGGTCTTACAATATAGCCCTAACAATGGAAAAATAATGGTTAAAAAGCATTAGTTTACATGAGACAGGACACCAATTAAACTCATGTGGTTTGAAAGCATGTGATCAGATGTTAAACCAGAAATGGTTTTAACTGAACAGTCTGCTATACTGCCATGCATTGCTCCATTTGAATTTTGTAAACAAAATGACACCCAAATCTGTAATTACAGGAATATAATCAAAGTCTACAGTAACAATTCTAATTGGGGCAATAGAAATTGGCATTCACGTTGTGACATGGCTGGACTAGCAGTTCTATTGTGCAGAATGTTCTCACCATTCAAATCATCTCTTGGACACACAGACTTAGCAGGAGATTAGTCAGCTCTTGATTGCTATACATAAATACACCTTATTTAAGCTGGTTTATGTGGAAATTGCTGTGAAATTCCAATTAAGTGCTCCTCTTTTCACATCTGACAGAAGTCAAGTACCAATCCATCTGAGTCTGCGACGGCGAACGTGCTGAACGTTCATAGGCAACCCACATTTAAAATAGCACAAAGAGCTCAAAATATATGTCACACTTTTAATATTTGTAAACAGCATAGTTTTTTTTTTCAACGCCTCGAGGAAAAGGCAAACTGAGGCTGATGAGAACAAGTGTGAGGCTGACAGATGTGTGAAAACCTTTAAGCCCTTAGCAACTGCTTTGAAGATGCTCTGGGGGAAAAAAAGGCAGGAAAAGGGCAATTTAATCCTCGATAAACATTTCAGATTCAATCACTGGAGGCTGGATGCTGTTATTTCACCATTTGTCACAGCAGGCTCCCTGGCTGGTCGCTGAAGTGATGGTGTTTGTAGAGTACTTGGCGTAGGCTGGCCCTGGACTGGTCATGAATTTAGCACATTCTCTCTCCACTCATTGACACTGGACTTCAAAGGGACAGGCATCTGGAATGTGACCGGATTCTTTCAAAAATGTTAAAAATGAGCAAGATAAGTCATCTTGATTATAAATCATCTTGATTTTCACATAACAACTGATTGTTAGACAGGAGGGTAGAGACCTGACCAGTTACTAGCTAAGAGCTGGAGTCTAGAAGATGGAGAAAAAAGCCAATGGCCTGAGGTCAGGTGGTCCAGCTTTACTGTGCTTTATAAGTAGGATGCTTCTGAGTCCATAGCACACCAACACACCTAACTTCCTGTTTCTATGGGGAACTTCCGTTAGTAACAAAATAAATTAAACTTTTTGAACCTAAACTGGAACCCACCTGCATCCAAACAGCCAAAGTTTAAACATTCACACACAAAACTCACACTCTTTTTTTTATTAATTAAATGTATTCATTTATTTTACATCTTGACTGAAATTTCCCTGCCCTCTTCTCCTCCACACTCTTTTATCAGATATTCTGCTCATTTGAAGAAACAAATTCACCACAGTGATCAATTACTTAACAATGTTCAGTTAAGCACTTACAGCTGATTTAATGATGAAATATCCTTTTAAAAGAAAACACTACTAAGCACATGGATTTGTCATTAAGTATCCCCCAGTCTAAGATAGCTATTAGCCCCACTACAGAAAAATAACCTTCAAACTTTTATTGTCTAGAACATTCCATTCTAATGGCTTTTTGCTATTTTCGTTCTTCTTTACTGACAGAGAATAACAATGCCCATCTAAACAGTGTGGAAGCAGTTCCTGCAAGATGTGTACTGACTGACTTAAGACCATGTCTCAGAGAAAGAGTACAAAAAGTCGCCAGTGAGATTTCCAAATAAATCTCAGGAACCATCACAATCGATGTGGATTGCACAGTACATTTGAGAAGAAGGGGGGAAAACTCACTTACTAAGCCAAAACGTAAAATCAACCAAACAAAAACGTGTAGAAAAAACATGATGGAGAATTAAATTTCCAACGTTTTTATGACAGCCTTCAAGTGCCAGGTTCTCAGGCACTTGGAATAAAAAGAAATCAAAACTGCGACTTGAAAATAGCACACAGTTGAAGAGACTGTCTAGACTAGAGTGGACCCAAAGGCAAAGCTTTAAAGGATGGCAAACCTCTGTCTGGGGCTGTCAGGCCTAAGGACCTACCCATTCTTTAACAAGGCCTCCTGTGTGCTGTCACACAGCCAATTTGAAGCAATCCATTCGTGTGATCCGGTGGCAAACTTCGCCGTCGGTCAGCGGGGAAGTAAGAAAGTCCATCCCTTACCTTTCTGGTCCTCTGGAAACAACAGAAGTGAGCAGTTTGGGTTTTTCCTCAAGTCTTTCACAGACAGAAAATAACAGTGTGTGAGGCTGGCTAATGAGAAGATATTCCCCGTGAAATAAATTCTACTTGCTTAATCCTGTCCTTTAAATGCATGCCCAAG